CTTTGGAGGCTGCTGGTGCCGGTTCCCCAGACACCCTCATGGATCTGTCTTCTCCCTGTCCTTGTACCCTGTCCCCTCGCCTTGGCTGGGGACATGAGTGGACCACATCGTTGGATGGGGGGCCGTTTCCCAGTTGTGCGGTGCACAGGATTTGTGAAAAGTGTAAATAATAGACTCCTATTGTGACCGGCTGGCGGGAGGAGGCCCTCCCTCGGGACGCGCACTGCGGTAGCACCTGCTGTATCTGTTCCACTCGCGGTGGTGGCTTTTTTTTTTTCTCTTTTCCCTCCCCCCCCCCCAAAAAAAAATTCACTCTTGGAAGGGAGGAAAACAGAGACTACAATGGGGAGACCCATCTTGACCATAAGGTGCCCACTGGGGTGAGCGGGCCTCGGGTGGGTTTGGGCACTGGCTGAGGGCGTGTTGAGACTCCGTGCCAGACAGACAGACAGACAGACGGGTGGACAATACTAGACGGGTCAGCCTGGGCCGACGTGCCCAGGAGCAGCCGGGTTCTACAGCCCCGCCGCCCTGCCCGCCCCGGCCTCTCTGTCCTCCTCTCAGGCGTCTGTCACTTGCTCTTTCTCTCTGCCTCCTCCTCAGCCTCAGCCTTTCCTTGCTGGGTGCCCGTGGTTCATGGCGGGGAAAAGCAGGGGCTCTCTCCCCAGCCCTGGCTGACCTCCAGGCCTGCGGAGGACAGGAAGCGAGACACAAGCATAGCAGCTGAGCCCAGGGAGCTGCCAGAGGAAACCAGCAACTGATGTGGGTGCTTTTTTTTTTAATTTGAATAAAAGAATTAGAAGCGATGTCCTTTTATAAAATGCCTTCTCCCCTCTTCTGCCTACAGCCCCGCCCCCTCTCCCTTGAGGGGGTCAAAACCTGAATGACAGGGCCGCAGTTCTGAGCAGATGCCCCTCACCCCCACGCTGCAGGGCTGGGGCCCTGAGCTGGGGGACACTGCTGAGTCCTTGAGCTTTCAGTCTCTCCTGGGCCCCGGAAGGTGACAGGTGGGATGTGGTCTCCTGTAGCTGCCACTTCGGGTACCGGCTCGTCCTGAGTATTAGGGTTGTGTTTGTTTTGTTTATTTTCTTTTGGTCTTTTTTCCCCTGTTAAAGAAAAGCTAAAGGCCGTTGTGAGTCCTGGGGGTGGGCTCTCCGAGGATGTAGCATATGGAAGAGAATTTTTATACTGCATTTTTATGGATTATTTTATATCGTGTGGTTCTGTCTGGTGGGAAAGAAGGAGAGGCTCCTGTGCCCCCTGCCGGTCTTCAGGGCAAGCAGCCCTCAGTGGGATGGGCAGGACAGGATAGGCCATGCCACGGAGGCCGCAGGGTGCCCTGTCCCTTCTGAGCTGGGCCGCGGGTGTCGAGTCCGCCTCGGTTTCCTGTCCTCTGCCACCTCCTAAGGCTCTCGCCAGAAGGGAGGGAAGAAAGTTATTCCTGAAGAGAAAAAGAAAATGAAAAGTCATTGTAATGAGCTGTTTTTATATTTTTAAAAGTTACTATTTAAAGGTTGGCTTGATTGTTGCGTTTTAATTGCCTCCCCCTGCACCCCCCAGTCAGTCCTCCCAGGAAGAGAGCCAGGGTCACTGTCCCTCATGCTCAGTCAGTCCTCTTAGGAAGAGAGCCAGGGTCACTGTCCCTCATGCTCCGGACCCAGCGGTTCTCAGACAGACCCTACAGCCATGAACACGAGCCCCTCCCGTTCCAGAGTGTGTCCCATGCTCCTGAACAGTCAGCATGCTCTTCACGGTCTTGTCCCTGCCTTGCAGGGGATGCTGGCGTGGGAGTGCAGTTGCCACTGGGCAGAGCGCCGGGGCCACCTAAGGCCATGGGCAACACCGAAGGATTATGCAGCTGTCAGTGCAAAACGCGGGGAGAGGAATGAAATGCAGTGACCATTAAGTGCAGCGTCAGAGCATCTGAACAGCCGGCCCTGAGAACTGCACCGTTCTCATGCAAGCCTAGCCATCGTAGGTGTGGTAGGCTTGCCATCCGTGCCACCAAAACACGCTTTGGGATTATTCACAAAGGGAATTGCAGAAGGGGCAGGCCAGGGTGCGCGAGCAGTGCCCAGATGCAGGGCAGGAGTGAGTCGGAAAAGGGTGTGGGGCCTGTGAAGCTCCGGCTGGTGCAAGGCACCCTGGTTCAAGCATCCACTAGCGGGATCTCAGGTAGGACCAGAGGCTAAAGTGGTTTCCAGCTTACTTTGTTAAAATTATAAATCACTAATAACCGCGGGCTGTCATTTCATAAAAGAAAGAGTTGAACCTTAAAAAGAGGTGACAATCTCAGAATAAGGCATAGATTTTATTCTAAGACTAGAAGGGGTAGTTGCCCCCTCCCCCGACCGGTGAATAGAGGGGTCCTTTACCTAGAGAGGGATGGTACCCGCAGGCTGGGGGAGGGGCAGCTTCCAGCAGGTAGGAAGAAGCCGACGAGGTCGAAGTCTGGGTTTACAGCCGTCCTGGCCAGTTGCATGGCCGTGAGTAAAGCTTGACCCTTCGGACCACACCTTCCTCTGCACCTGTGCACTGCCGCCAAGGGCTAGCCGGCCCGGAGGCCAGAATAAAACATGCGCCCAGGACTTGGGGCTGCTCTCAGTGCCAAGGCCGGCTTGGAGTTGGGGCCTGCAGGAGTTGGATGGAAGATGAAGACTAGTTAGATGCACACCTCCTGGCTTGAACCACGAGGAACAGCCAGCGCCATTCCCACTCGCGCAGAGATGGCCCGAAAAGGAGTTCGCCAGGATGTTCTGGGCCTGGTGAGGATGAGATGGGCAGGCCTGTCCCTGCTAAGGGAGTGCCGAGATGCAGGGCAGGCCCGGCCTGGCCCACGTTTGACCTGTGTACATGCTGGCCTGCACTTGGCGCATCCTTTAGCGGCTCCTAGAAGCACCTCGACTCCGGCTGTCCCTGTGTCCTGTCCTCGCAGCCGCTCACCAGGTCCCCGGCACTGCGCACACCACTTGTCCCTCCCTGGCCACCGCTCCGGGGCGCTCGGCTGAGCTCTGGCTGGTGGCATCACTTGCATCTGGGGGCTGGTTAGGCAGCCAGAGGCCTGGCCTTGTGACCAGCAGAATGGCTTGCTCAGCAGAAGCTGGGTCCCTGCCCCCGCCAGCACGGGAGGCACCGGCGTGCACACAAGGGCCCAGGACCTGCTGCTGGGGGACTGGAGGATGGATCAAGGCATGACCGCACCTGGGGGAGGCTCCTTTCTCGTCTCTCACCTCACATGCGTGCGCATGCCCTCATGGATAAAGAAGAAAACTTATCAAAGAGAAACCCAGAATCGGCCTGCAGCCCAACCCTACTGCAACACAGTGTGCTCAGGCCCCGTGAGACTCCTGAGCACCTGAAGCTTCATGAGGCTCGGCTGAGCCCAGGGAGAGGCTGCCACACGGTGAACTGTCCTCCCATCTCACCTCCCCAGGATACCCCCGCTTCCTCCTGCCAGTGACAGGAGGCCCGGGCATCATTTTTCTAGTTATTTCTTGTTGATGGTTTCTGCCATAGGGGGTGTGTGCTTTCTGGAGAAAGACAGGGAAAGTGAGCAATCACCCCGCAGGAAGATGGCCACACTGCCATGCCTTCTCCATTCTCCTCGAGAGTTTGTGCATGCATGCACGCAGTGGGAGTCCAGCGCCTTCACCATGTCACCTGCTATTCTCTATTATAGGCTTTTTTTTTTTTTAAGAGGTTTTTGCTATAGGGCACATACACTCGCCAGAGAGACAGAGAGAGACAGGGAGACAGAAGGCGAGAAATCACACCTCAGAGAGGATGGCCAGGCTGCAATCCCTTCTCCTCCATTCTCCTCTCGGGATCTTGGGCACACACACACTCGCGCTGGACATGAGTTTAAGCCTCTGGGTCCGGGACTTGAACTGCGGTCAACTACATGGGAGTTCAGCGACATAGCCATTACGCTAACTGCTGGTCTTGTCTCTTCTAGCCTTTTTTAAGGTCATTACCCAAATACTCTTGCCCTTAAGCAGCGGTCTGGGTACATAGCAAACAGCACTGGCAGCATTTCCCTGCATCTGTGCTTCCCAGCTAGACCAGTTTCCCTGGAGGACAGCACACCCGGCTTCCTCAGCTCTGTGCAGTCCAGCGAGCCAAGATTTGCAGTGACTGGCACCCTAGCTGGACCACTCAGATACTCAGTAACACGCCCAGAGCAGGGAGGTGACCTCCAGTTCTTGGAACGCTGCAGCGCTGCCTTTGCTCAGAGCTAGATCCACATGAGAAATGGAAAGATGTGATTGGCTGGAGCCACCCCACTGTGTTGTGTTCAGGTGTTCAGGTCAGCCCTGGTAGCACCTGACCAGGCCACCCCTTCTAGCCTGAGTTTCAGCCCGCCCCCATTCCCTGCCCCCAGGTGGCACCTACCCCAGCGGAGGCCCTGACTGTCCTAACTCTAGGGTGTTCAGGAAGGTATGCAGGTACAGAGCTCTGAATCTGAGAGCCATTCCACAGACGAGTGAGTAGCCAGGACCAGCGTAATGGCTATGTCGCTGGATTCCCATGTAGTCAACTGCAGTTCGAGTCCCAGACCCGGTGGCTTAAACTCATGCTGGGCGTGTGTGCATGCGTGCCCAAGATCCCGAGAGGAGAATGGAGGAGAGGGGATTGTGGCATGGCCATCCCCCCTGGGGGGTGATTTCTCACTTTCTGTCTCTCTGTCTCTGTCTTTCTGGTGAGCACACACGCCCTATAGCAAAAACCTCTCAAAAAAAAAA